GACCAGTCACTACAAGGTTCCTTTTAGACCAGTCACTACAAGGTTCCTTTTAGACCAGTCACTACAAGGTTCCTTTTAGACCAGTCACTACAAGGTTCCCTTCGGCCCTGTAAAAGATGGGGTCCCGTTTAAACCAGTAGCGTTCACCGATTTCTTGCTTTGATTTTGGAACCGATTTTTGTTTTGTTTTGCCTTTTCTGTTGGCCAAACACAGTCTTTTGGAATATAATTAGAAATATAATTAGAAATATAATTAGAAATATAATTAGAAATATAATTAGAAATATAATTAGAAATATAATTAGAAATATAATTAGAAATATAATTTGAAATATAATTAGAAATATAATTTGAAATATAATTTGAAATATAATTTGAAATATAATTAGAAATATAATTTGAAATATAATTAGAAATATAATTAGAAATATAATTAGAAATATAATTAGAAATATAATTTGAAATATAATTTGAAATATAATTAGAAATATAATTAGAAATATAATTAGAAATATAATTAGAAATATAATTAGAAATATAATTAGAAATATAATTAGAAATATAATTAGAAATATAATTAGAAATATAATTAGAAATATAATTAGAAATATAATTAGAAATATAATTAGAAATATAATTAGAAATATAATTAGAAATATAATTAGAAATATAATTAGAAATATAATTAGAAATGTAATTAGAAATATAATTAGAAATATAATTAGAAATATAATTAGAAATATAATTAGAAATATAATTAGAAATATAATTAGAAATATAATTAGAAATATAATTAGAAATATAATTAGAAATATAATTAGAAATATAATTTGAAATATAATTAGAAATATAATTAGAAATATAATTAGAAATATAATTTGAAATATAATTAGAAATATAATTTGAAATATAATTAGAAATATAATTAGAAATATAATTTGAAATATAATTTGAAATATAATTTGAAATATAATTAGAAATATAATTTGAAATATAATTAGAAATATAAATGAAATATAAATTGAAATTTTATTCTAAAGACTTTCTGTGCATTTTTTTGTGCCCTTCAATAATTTACCTGACTTGACCTGCTTAAACAGTACACGCAGCAGACGCTTCTATCAACCCACTCGTATTGAAATGTTTCGTTTGTTTACCTGTTTCTGTAACACTCCCCTTTGAAGCACCAATGAAAGCATCCACCGTAAGTCTCTCCCCACCCCCTCCGCTCCGCCCCTCCAAGCAGTGTTCACAAGCAACATTTGAAAACACAAAACAGGCAGCACAAATCATTCTCCCAATCAGGTGTGTTCTGTAGAACTTTGACCAACCTGTCTTGTCTTCGATGCCGTTAAGGATTGTAATTGTTATTTTGACGATTACTACCTTGCGAAATGAATAAGCCTGTTGCACTGGTCCAAAACGTCTCGAGTATATGTATTATGTAAATTGGACCAAAATGATTGCACCCACTGCACCATGAACGTTCCCTGCAAAAAGGGGCCGGGGGACGGGGAGGGGGGGGGGGGGTTACTTTACTACTTATGCTGCGTTTATACAAAATCTTTAGTGATCTCCTGAATGCCTATTCAAATCTACAAGGCTAGCTTCTATAGTTGATTTTGAGTGCGTCGATGTTCTCATGTTACTGAAACGTTGAATGTTTAATTATGTAGATGCTTCGCCCCTGGAGTCAGTGCACTTGTGCAATGTCTGCCTCTTTCGTGAGAACAGTGACTGTTGTCCGTGTCTTTCCCTGTAGGCTAGTGAGTACAGCTATCAGTGTGTTCATTCCACCTGTGCTGTAAGTACAGTCGGGGAGAGGAGATCCGAGCTACACCAACCACTGGACAACGTCATACCAAAACTTGCCTCAGAAATCCTAAGCGCTGTTTTAGCACATTTATATACGACAGACCTCACTAAGACGTTCAAACTTATAAGTTTTTGCTCCGTGAACGCACTTAGTTGAAAATCACAAAAATGTCTTCCACTTTGAGGACGTTCCCCCTCATCTTGGTCGCGTTCACATGTTCCCAGTCCCTGGAATTTGAGCACGCTCCTCGAACTGACGAATCCCCGTGTGACGTCACAGACGACGATGTGCGAGGTGGCGAATACGTCAATTGCACAGCTCGAGGTTTGACCTCACTTGAACCAAACTGGTTTCCCGAGAATGCGACCACTCTAAGCCTTGACCACAACATGTTGCAGAACCTGGTCAGTGGATGCTTCAGACATCTGTCCGAACTTCAGGTCTTGACCATAAGTGACTCCCAAGTCACCACAATTCACGTGAGTAGAAAGAGTAGATCTGTTAATTAATGTTAATTTTAACTCAACTGCCGTCAGGCCCTCCGTTGGAAACATGAGAAGGCAGCACGGCGTAACCCATCACTTGGCGCGCAGCTCTCGCCCCGATCACACGCGTTTTTGTGGTACTTGTTTCTTCTGGAACGGACTACCTTTCCCCTCGACAGACGGGTGATGTAGAAACTTTTATATTATACTTATATTCCTCATTTCGTTTTTACAGCTAATCTCAACATTTTATACTACGCACTGTGTTTTTATTGGTAAAGAATTCGGAGGAAATTCCGGGCTGAAAATCGGATCTTTACCTTCATCTGCGCACATGAGTTTGCTTGAGTTAGATTCATAATTGGTCTTGTCTGCTTTATAAGTGAAACTGTGTATTTGTCTTCTTGGCAATATTGTTCTCAGCCTTCTGGGCAAAATCGGTTTTCTGGCCTCCTGGGCTAAGTCGATGAGTCA